GAGAGTTCTTCTCAAAAGGTGTTTTGCCCCCGGAGTTGAAGAAGCTGACCCCTTCTAGTGCCCTCGGTGACATGATATTTCTTTTAGCTCTGCAGGCATTTCAAGGTGATATTGAGGGATGACTTTGCACTTGGCGAAGCTGCCAAAAGCTGCCAAAGCTCAATACTGAGTTCTCTCTGAAATATTCATCTATGACAGGGGACATGTGTGGCTCAAAGGGAAGTCAAAGGGAGGTCAAAGGTCCCTATGCACAGGAAGTCACTTTGTTTTTTCATGTGATTACAGTATCTTTTGCTGCATTTCTTGTATCCCTTCCTCCATTCCAGTCGTACTCGCGTACAAGCTCAGGCTTGATGCTGCGCCCTGTGCCTGCCTTAACTACCCCAGCACAGACACTATGATGAGTGGGGCAGAGCAAAAGAAGAACAATTATCATTTTCTCTCAGATTACAGTCAGCAGATGTCAGGGCCCACATGTGGAGGCAGCTAATTGCTGTCTTCAAATCAACTGTGGCATAATACTACAAGCATATGCGAGCCTTGTGTGTGTGTGTGTGTGTGCGGCAGAAGGTGGAGGGGGAGAATGGCTGCGTTGCACAGTGTGTGTGTTGATCCATCAGGCACGCCCTTGGTCACTGTGTGTGTGTTTAAAAAAAAGCCAGGCTAATGCATGTGTCATGTCGGCATACTGATGATCAAGCTGGCTTACCCGCCATCAGCTGTTCACACCCACGCGAGCAGAAAGAATCCTATGGTACGAAGACATGTAGCAGCACGGGAAACACGCCAACTACCTACTCTCATGCTACGCATAAGGCAATCATGCATCCGTGGCATGGTATCCATAATCGAAGCCCATTACAATACAGGAAACATGCATGCAAACATACTCCAGTGCTCCCAGCGTGCTTCCACACCGCCTAAGAATAGTAGAGATTGAAGGATGGAAAGCATCCCTAAAACTCCAGCTTTCACCGCATTCCTCTCCACTCCTCACCCCTCTCTCCCGCCGCCCCGCGTCCCTCCCGTGTTGCCTTGAGTGGGGCTGCATCTGGAGGGAGGAGCAGACAGACGAGGTCCCTGAGGAGATAGAGGGTGGGTGGGTGAGGAGACGGGGGGCGTGCACGGCTGTCACGCTGAGCTGCAGTGTCGGCTGATGGCTCGGCGTGCCACTGAGTGGTGTGGAGGGTGGGAGTGGTGTGGAGGGTGGGAGTGGTGGGGGGGGGTAAGGCTAACTGTGTGTGTGTGTGTGTGTGTGCGGGTGAGGAGGCACCAGGGACAAAGGGTGATGCCAGAACCCATTAACACATCTTTTCATCTGTATACACACATGCAAACATGCATTGTGCATGCACACTAAATATAATGAACCTCAAACACACACACACACAAACACACACACACACACACACACACACAAAATGTACAAAATCGCCTGCGATCCTCGACCCTCCCTACAGGCAGACAGTGGCCCGATGCCGTGACTGCTGCTGTGAAAAGCTCCCTTCTCCTCTTATTCCTCCTTTTGCTTTCCTTTTCATCCTCCTCTCCCACTCTCCCTTGGTGCCCCAGTTCACTCCAGTGCACACCCTCCCTCTCTCCTTCCACCCTCACCCAATCCACCCCCCACCTCTCTGGCGCCCTCGTTCCCCCGTCCTAACCCTGTCTTCCATATTTCGCAGCCTTCACTCACTCGCCTCCTTCACGCTACTGTACTTTTTCTACAGTAGGATGCCTTTCCCCTTGCTCTTGTGAAATACACACAAAAATATTTAGATATAGAAATATGAATGCAAAAATATACAGAAGATGGACTGCAAAAATTAACACATTTAAAAGATGAACTTCCACTTTGTTTCGACAATCAAGCACTCGACTCTAATAATAAATGACCCAGGATGGGTCACGCAAACACATAAACATAGATGGAGATAGATGGCTTTGATGGAGGAGGTCAGTCAGTCACAGAGCAGATAAACACCTCATTAGACGTGTTGGAAGGGAGTCTGGCAGGCTGGGCCGGGACGTCACTGTCTGCTAGCATGCTAACGCAGCCCAGGGCAAGGCTCCCGACATATAAACAAACCTGATAGGATCACAAAGTAATGATCACATGTCATCTACTGGAGAGGACATGAATAATCACATATAATGGACCACTAGATGCAGACATGGACACAGTGATGATTGCATGCAACAGACATCCTTGAAATAACAATGATGTCAAGCTGAACCAAGGCTGGTTTTTTATCCTATGCATGCATGCCCATTGCTACCCATTCATGAGATTATAAGCTATTCATTACTGGGTGGTACCGTATACCCTATACCAGGAGTTCTGCCTTCCTATAGGCAGTACAGCAGGAATCCAGAGAGCCAGTTTCTTTGCTTCTGGGCTTTAGGCAGTCAATTTTCTTTCCATCACGCACTCGCGCACTTTTAGTCATTCTTGCACTCACAGTATTTATCTCACAGTTGTGCCCCCCCCCATCCTCCCTCTCTCTCCTTTTATTAGGCCATCCTCCTTTCCCCTGCCACTGATGTTAATGCATTCCCAATCAGGCTGTCCATTAAGCAGACGTACACTACGCATTCATCAGGCCGTCCAAAGGCCTGCATGCAAATGAGAGCAAATTGCAGTGCGCCGCAAGCTCCTTGAAATCTCCTTAGTGGGAGAACGTGAGTGCGAGACATGCATGGTGTGAGAGATGCCGGAAAAAGGGAGTGCCTGCCCGCCCGTTTTATGCAAATGTCTGCCACGGAGACGGGCATTGCAAAGGATTAACCCAATCAGGATGCCCTTTTGATGTTTTGATGCAATGATGAGACACTTGCATGTAAAACTTGCCGATGTAAAGTCTCTCCGTGGTTCAAAAGAGAGTTACTGTCAGCCGAACCCCTTTTTTATGTGCAGTAAAAACTTCTCCATTCTGAAATCACTGTCAAACTTTTGCTCGAAACACTAAAAGTGCGAAACGCAACAGATCTTTCACTTTTATTTCCCTCTCCTCCCTATTGACTGCGAGGCATTTCACATCACTCCATTTTTGTTCTTTACAACAAAAAAAAAAAGAGTTTGTTGTTGTATCCAGTGGGACGCTTTCATTCTCACCTCGGCTCCTTGCCATCTCTAACTTTCTAAACCTGAACAGGAAGAGACAAGGGCAGCCTAGATGTGTGGGTGTGCTGTCGCAGTTCTAGGGTAGACATTTATTTGAGGTACCAACAAGGAGTAGGAGTAGCGGAGAGAAGGAGAGACAAAGCTGGAGTGCCGGAGAGTCATGCCGGTTCAAAGGCTGCCTCTTTCCATTCAGGAGGCGCAGGGCCTGGCGTTAAATGCATGGAGCAGGGTGAGGAGGGGGGGGGGGGGGGGGGGGGGGGGG